GCAGGAAGTAATTACGAAAGATGGGACCTTTAATAAATATAAATAATAAATGTGCTTTAAAAATAAACTTATGATCTGAACATGACTTAGCATTACAAAATTTCAATTAATTAAGATGTCTTATATTCCATAAATACTTGCTTTTGATACTCTTACCTTAGACTGGTCAAGAATTTGAAGTTTTTCCCATACTATTTTATCCCTTTCAGATTTTTCCCAAGTATTATTCCATTTTTCAGGAGTTTCTTTTTCTTTCTTCTTTAAAGCAACCTGTTCATCTGGAAATAATGTCCTTTTTAAAAAAATGTACAATAACTGCAAAAAAAAATCACGTAAACAAATCATGACCTTCTTAAAGAGTGCAGATTCCAACACAGATTAAAATTGTTTTGTACGGAGGAGATTAACTCACAAGATAAAGAAAAATTTTAAAGGAGATGGAATAAAACATTTAATCAGAACCAAATTTAAGTATGGCACCAATGGATGTAATAATGTCTACTATAATTATCAATAAAGAGATTTTTTTCAGGACAACATAGTTTATATTATGCTAATTATTCTGAGGTTCTACTTTCCTGAAATGTTCAGTCAATTATTAGTAAGAGACTCAAAAGTAAAAACTCTGGATTCAGAGAAATCTGGGGTTCAAATCCAAGTTCAACTATTTCCCCGCAATATGTCTATGGACAAATTACTGATCACTTCTCTAAACCTGTTTGTTCTTCTGTAAAAAGAGAGTAATAATAGTGCCTATTTCAATACAGGACCTGGCACAAAATAAGTATTTAATAAATGTCAGCATTATTCATAACTGTAAAAAAAGTAAAAAATATTAAATCTTGTGTTAACAGAACAATATAAATAAACAAGACCCCAAATCAATAGTTCTTAAAATGTCAAAGATATATAAGTTTAAATTCCAAGAAAACTGATGAAAGCAAAGCTTTAAGAAAGAAAGATATGCTTTTTCTAACAGTATTAAGTAACAGTAAATTGTATTTTTAAAGATAATAATTAAAGCATAAAACACTTCAGTCATTTCCAAGTAGCTCCATATCTTACTTCAAAAGTTTTGTATTGTATTTTGATAAGCTGAATTTTATTTAAAAATATTTAAAGCTGAAATTATGCTATAAACACAGATCAGATCTCCAAATCTTCTGACTCTGCTACCATATATTAAATTTCTTAATTCTTCTGTTACCATCACTTCCAATATCAATTCATTCCCTAATTCTTCTGCTTATCTCTTTTTCTATATCACCTATCCTGTACCAGCATGGCTGCCTCACAAGAGGGTGAAGCCCATTCTCATGCTCTTAGTACAGCTATTTCTAAAAGTACAACTGTTACTTCATGTATTTTCCAAACTATGGACTCCAAGTCTAGTCCAAGAACCAATGGGAGTTTCTTAGTTATTATCAATATTTTAAGACCCTAACAAAAATTATAATATTTCTGTTATACAGTTTCTACAGGCTGACAAAAAACAATAAGCTTATTTTTGTGTGGAATACACTAATTGATATCATACTGATAACTCTTCATTAGGACGTTTTAATTATTTTTAAAAAATTAACTCAATTATTTTTAAATAAAACCATCTTTAAACCCATAGGATTTCTGTAATGGAAAAATATGATAAGTGGATTTTCAAGAAATGAGAAAAGTTTAGGAATCTTTGAGATCCAGTAGCTCTAGAATGATACTGATGACATCAATGCTCACCTCTGGCTTTGGGTACACACCACAGAGTGCCAAACAAAAAGGTACAATGTAAGCGAATGTGAAACCATAATCTTCTTATACATTTACAGAGAACTCCTCTAAATGGCAAATGTTATAACACAAGACTTTTGATAATATTATATTGAAGGATATATTTCATCCTTTGCATATATTCTGTAAGTCAACCAAACTACAATAATAGGTGTTAATAATTACTTACCAAGCTCTTTCCTCCACTGGGCTTTTTTTGCTTCCAACAAATTTCTATCACGTTCTCTTTCCCCCAGAGTACTGAATATGTCCGCTGGTTTCCATACATTCTCTCTGAGACAAAACACAAATAATGACTGAAACCTTATTATACATTTCGACACAGCATACTCCATAGTATTCCGTAATAAACTTTTAACTAGCTCTTAGACTTCAGAGTTAATATTTCATAAGAAAGTCAAGCAAAAATCATATTCATAAGATATGAGTTACATACATGGCAATTTTATGCTCAGACTGCTTAGATGTCTCCTGACTTTTATTTAAAACAGATTTATTTTCATCTTGGACACATGAAACAACCTCAGTTTTTTGGAGTAGTCCCATAATGTTCTCATCCTTTTGCTGATTAGGAATACTGTTTAAATGTAGACTGTACTGACCTAGGAAATAAAATGCATGCTTTAAAATTAACAGTATAATTGCATCTATTACAATACCTTATTTTAGCATACTGCAATACAGTTTAAAAAACATTGCCTACACATCACCTAATTATTTCTCACAGCAATCTTTGCAGTGGGTATTATGACTCCCTTTTTGTCAAAAAAGGAAACTGAGCCTCAGAGGTTTAATGACCCAGATGTATGGCCACAGCCATACAAATTCCTGTACCAAACAACAAGCAACAACAACAAAAATAAAGCTCCATTTATTCCTGCCAACATCACTTTTAAAAATAATATAAACAAAAACACAATTGACTTTATTGAGTATAAAAGCAAATAGCTCTATGAAAAACTCACTACCTTTTCCTAATTTAACTGGGAAATCAGTGAAAAACTTTACCATGGACCACTGGCTTTATGCCCCAGCTATAGCTATTCCAAATATTTTGGACTCATGCTTGGCTCAAAAACTATACTACATTGCTCCTTAACATGCTAGTTCTCCTAATGAAGAAAAAGCATATTTAATATGTAGGTCATTATATGACTAGGAAAATTCTTTTAACTTTATTGATATTTTCTCTATCTTTGCTAAGTTTTTATTTTTTTGTTCTCTGAACTAGAATTCTAGAGTTACAAGACAAAATCTAGCTTTCTCATTTTACAAAGGATAATCTAGACCAGTGGTTGGCAAACTGCGGCTAGCAAGCCACATGTGGCTCTTTGGTCCCTTGAGTGTGGCTCTTCCACAAAATAGCACGTGCGGGCGCACATGTACAGTGCGATTGAAACTTTGTGGCCCATGCGCAGAAGTTGGTATTTTGTGGAAGAGCCACATTCAAGGGGCCAAAAAGCCGCATGTGGCTCGCGAGCTGCACTTTGCTGACCACTGATCTAGGCCAAGAGACGGTAGATTACACTATCTCAGCACCTTGGGAGTATATAGGAACTACCTGGTCTCCAAACCAGTTGTGGGAACTCTTCCTGGTGACCGTTAATTTTTTTTAATTTATTTCACTATTGAATCACAAAATGTTAATGATATTTCTACTCATATTCACAATTCTTCAGCTCAAAGCTGAAACAAGAAGGCTTTTAAGTATAATTATGATTAGTGAAACAGAAGGCATGTAATATTCTACTACTCCTTTCAAGTTTGTGTTTTAAAGATAGAGCTGCCAATCCTTAGCATGGATGGAGAATTAGGAAAAGCAAAATGTAGGGGCCAGGAAAATCAACATTTTCAATAAGCAAGTCAAATCTTCATAGTAGGGGTCCCTCAATTTTCACTAGAAGTACTATAATGGTTTGTTGGAATATTTTATATAATTTGTTTTAATGTAAGTAAGGTTTTTCTACATTCTAAAATAAGTACAATAGTGTTCTGTATTAACATCTTTTCTAGAGTGCACAGAAAACTGGATTTCTTAAGGCTATGGTTCATGAGAATATTATTCTGGGCATTAACTGTAAAATATAGCATATTATAAAATTAATTCTGTATATTTATTTACCTTAAGAGACCAATCATTTTGAAAAATTGTTACATGTAAAATAGAATTTAAGAGGCACAGTTATGTAAAATTCAATGAACTTGAAATTCTAAAACATTTTATGTCAATAAAATGTATTAAAACTTCAGAAAGTCTTACTTGTTTCCTCCTCCTTTCCATTCTCGGTCAGGAACATGGGTCTATTTCCGTGGTTTACATTTATCAAAATCTGTTGTAGCTGGTCTTGTGTTAGACACACCAAACTACTCTTCATATTTTCACCAGTGATGTGATTTTTGCAAGGCTTCTGTTTAGCTATTACAGGTGTACTTAAGGTGTTCCCAGTCTTCTGTATTTTAGGGGTTGTAGGTGAACTCTCTTTCCGGATATGAAGACAGTCTTTATCAGCATACTGCTTGCATAAATCCTTAGCCATACTATTTTTTTCACCTTTTACCAGTGACGTTTCTGAACCAATTCTCTTCTTTTCCAAACGTTTTTCACTACTGATACAAGTATTTTGTGTTGATTTTAGAATGCATCTGGTTTGTTTTGTTCTTAAAGGACATTTTCCAATCTTGGTCTTATTTCCCATCTGTTAAGATACCAAAAATTTATTCTTTATAACAGCCCACGAAAAACCAATAATTATCTTGATATATATGATAAATCAGGCCTTTAATCTTTTTCCCATTTAACTAATATATATCCAAAAGAAACTAACTTTTAACATTTGCAAATCTTCACTTGAAAGCTTTATTTAATACTGGAAATTATTATTTTATTCAGAACTAGAGGGCTGGCGCATGAAATTCATGTACAGGTACGGTCCCTAGGCCAGGCCTACATTCAAGGCCATCTTCCCCAGCTGCCCACAGCTGGCCCTGCCCTCCCCCGCCCCCCCCCCGGGCCGCAACCCACTCCTAGTTCTCCATTTGCAATTGGGTGATCAGTGCCTGACAACCGGGGAAAAGAACTGAGAGGTCGGCTGTTCCCACCCACTCGCCAGCCCCGCCCCTGCCATAGGTGGCCATCAGGCGATCAGAGCCTGCCAGCCAGGGAAAGGCAACAAGAAGTGGTCAGTGCACCTCATAGTGACTCGTCCAGCGGTTGTTCTGGTTGTTCTGCCATTAGGGTCAATTTGTATATTACCCTTTTATTATATAGGATAATAAAAATAGTCCAAAAAGGGGGAAAACATAATTATTTAATCTAACTTATGAATATATTTGCAAAATAATATATA